TGTGCTTTTGCTTTGTGTGACTGGGCAAAAAACTTATAAAGTGAGTTGTAACATTGAGTTTTTGGTCTGCTGCCTGGGATGTGAGCTGGTGGCATCTTCCCATTGCCATAACCATGGAATGAGGCTGATGGTGGAAAATCAAACAGCTCAAGGCAGTTCCTGGCAGTCCTGTCCTGTTTGTGATTTGTACACAGACCCCAGCTGGTGACACTGGGCTGCACCTCAGGAGCAGAGCTCTCTCTCCCAGGGAGGTTTTGTCCCAGACACAGAGTCCCACTGCGATCCACCAGGTACCAGGGGTGCTGAGGCAGCCTCTGGAGCAGGATCAGGCACTCTCATGGAAAACCTCCCTTGCTGGATGTCACACACAGGGCACACCCTCAGAAACTCACCCTGCCCACCCAGTGTCACTGTGACCCTTCCCAGCCACCCCAGCCCTGTCCCAGCACCGTCCAAGGACAGAGCACACCCAGCACTGCCCTCCTGTCACCACATTTCCCTTCACAGAGAAAAGCAAAACACAACTCCCCAAAAATATTCCTGAGATTCACATTCCCTGAACCTCAGAGAATGATCAAAACAGTTCTTATCTCATTTGCTGCGCCTGTGTTGCTCACAATTAAAGTACGTTATAAAAATTTGTTTACCTAAAAAAAATCAATCATTGAATTCTAGTATAAGTGTTTTAATTCATTGACCAATTAAATCCATGTGTGTGTGTGTATCAAAACTGTCAGCTAATAATCACAAAATACTATACAAAAAAACAATTAGGTACCTAACAAATTCGAATATAATATAATATAATATAATATAATATAATATAATATAATAATATTATATAATAATATATTATATATGATGTGATGTAATGTAATAATTAATTAGCCTTCTGATAAGATGGAGTCAGCTGCAACTTTCTCCCCTTCACTGGGGGTGCCTTGTTCCAGTACCCTCTCCCCCAGAGGGTGCTCCTGCCCCCAGGGGGGACATTTTTCCTGCAGGAAAGCCAGGGTTGGATCCAGCCTGGATCTGCTCCGTGCCTTCCCAGCCCAATGTTTACGGGTGTGACCTTGGCTGAGCCCAGCAGCACATCACTCCTGACATGCTCCAAGAGCTGTTTATTTATTTATTCCCTGCCAATGACTTGGGCTGGTGGTGCCCTCTGAATTCCAAGCAGGTCTCAGCTCAGTGTTCCTGGTCTGGGTGGCTCTGCTGGGGATCAGGCAGGGGAAGGAGCCCAGGAGCTCCATTTGCTGGGGGAACATCCCTGCCCAGACCCTCTGTGCAATCCCTGCGTGCTCAGGGTAATGCTGGCCCTGCACAGGGGTTTGAGGGATGGAACTCTGCTGTCCCATGGTCACAGAGGTCTCCTGATGGAGAAAGTGCTCCAAAGTCCATCACCAGAGGGGTGTGACCGTGTTCACAGGGGTCTTAGGATGAGGGAAGAGATGAGGATCTGACTCCATGTTTCAGAAGGCTGATTTATTATTTTATTATATATATTACATTAAAACTATACTAAAAGAATAAAAGAAAGGATTTCATCAGAAGGCTGGCTAAGAATAGAATAGGAAGGAATGATTACAAAGGTTTGTGGCTCAGACTCTCTGTCCAAGCCAGCTCACTGTGATTGGCCATTAATTACAAACATCCAACATGGGCCAATTACAGATGCACCTGTTGCATTCCACAGCAGCAGATAATCATTGTTTACATTTTGTTTCCTGAGGCCTCTCAGCTTCTCAGGAGGAAAAATCCTAAGGAAAGGATTTTCCATAAAAGATGTCTGCAACAGAGGGGGAACTGCAGAACACAACTCCCAGTTGAATGGAGGTGAAGGAGTGCTCAGGTGAGTGTGAGCTCTGCTGTGCTGACAGGAGGCACTGTCCCAGTGCCACCAAGCTCTCTGAATCTTCCCACACCTCTGCCTGCATCCAAAACAGCCACCTGCTAAATCCTGGTGGCAAAGCCTCCAGGAAAGCAATTCTCCAGGGCTGGGGTTTGTCACTCGTCCTGCTGGGACTGCTGGTCCCACACACCAAGGACAAGGAGAGCTGGAAGGAATGTTGATTTCCTGAAGGGTGATTCCTCCAAATAAACTCTTCCCTGATGGGATCACTGGAAGAGCAGGAGCACAGGATGAGAACTGAGTTATAAAAACAGCAAAAACCTTAACACACCCCATGCTCAGAGAAAAATCAGCTGAGCCTCAAGAGCAGCAAAACCAAACTGAATTGCACCAAACTCATATTCAAATTCCCATTCAGGGCTCTCCCTGGCTCCGTGGAGCACTCTCCCAGGGCCCAGCAGGGCACAGCAAGCCCCATTCCAACCTCTCCATGAAATGTGAGTGCTTTTGGCTGGGTTGAAGCCTTGTCCTCAAAGTCCTGGCAGCCACAGGGCTGGCCAAGGAACCTCTGTCCATGGGCTGCCACAAGAGCCACAAGAGCTCTGCAGGGCACCAGGGCTGTGGGGACAGGGGAGAGCAGGTTTGGGGACAGGGGAGAGCAGGATTAGGACAACTCTGGTCACCTGCAGCAGGCACCTGGGCAGACCCTGCCTCATGGTGGGGCTGTCAGGTTTGAGGGAGAGCCCAAAAAATGCAGAGCTGCTCCTCACAGAATTACAGAGATCTCCCTAAGGGGAGGCAGGAGATGCTCACAAGGCACCCTTCAGCAGAACATGGGGATGTTGGATGTATGAATATGTTCAGGGTGTAAAAGAGGAGGTGTCAAGGAACCCAGCAGGGGCAATGAGGCCCAAGAACACCTCTGCACCAATCCAAGAATCTCCTTGGCCAGGGTTTGAACCAATTCTCAGCAGCACTGAAAAGAAAACACCATTTTCCCATTTTGGTTTTGTTTGTGAGAGGGAGAGCGAAGCAGAAAGGGATGGAGGGGTGGCACTGCATCCCAAATGGAAAGAGCCAGTGGCCATTGCCCAAGTCAAATTCCAACTTTATGACATAATGGGCTTTTTCTAAGCAGAGCTTGCTATTAACTCCAGCACTGGCTTAAACCCCTTGGCCTCAGGCACAAGCAAAGCAGAGCTCACACACTGTAAATGTTAATACTGCTTTAGCACTGTAATAAGCTAAAAGGTGGATGCAAGATCTGGCACATTAATTCCTTTTTTCATCTTTTTAGCACATTTCAGGGTAATATGAATAATAAATATTTGAGCTCATGAAGGTTAACGGATGGATAACCCTGGAGACTGGGACTCCCCAGGTAGGAAGGCAGCAGTTCCTTTCCACATGGCAGTGTCTCCAGCAGAGAGCCAGGGAATTTGCCTCCTCCTGAGAAGTCAGAGTTGTTTCTTGGCAGGGAAGTGTTTGACATTAAAACTCGCTGCCCAGCACATTTGTTCACACTTCAAATGTTTGGGCTGGGCAATGAGTAGAGGTGAATATTTCCAAGCATCACAGGGCAAAGCTGTGCAGAGAGGGAAAGCTCCTCCATCCCAGCACTCTGCTCCCACTGAACAGGAGCCAGATTGGTCAGCAAAGGGTTCTCAGAGCTTTTCAGGCTTTAATTAGGTTTAATTCCTCCTGCAGCCAGGTGTGGATTCACCTGGCCTGAGGCTTGGTGGCAGAGCAAGGGAGCTGAGCTGCACCTCCAGAGCTCAGCTCAGGGAATGTCCTGAGGGCAGAGCACTGCATGGACCTGCCCCAGATGTCACCACCAGCCCCGGGGACCTGGCCTGGCATTGTTTTGCAGCTACTGGGTCTAAATCACAAGGTTTTGGTGTCTGTGAGGTGACAGCCACACAACACCCTGAGGAGAGCAGCTGGGTGAGAAGCTGTGCTGGAGCTGCACAGCACCTCTGGGTGACAAAAACGTCTGGAACAGGGGAGAAACCACACTGCTCTGGCACCCTGTCAGGTGCCACAGGAGTGCCCTAGCTCATCCCAGAGCCGTGGGTGAGCTCCCAGGGAAGCAGCCTAGAATAGAGGAAGAAAATCTAATTCCAACAGGGACCATGTCAGGAGAGGAAGGATAGGTCTGGTGACCCAGGGAAGGGTTGGAAACCTGTGCTTAGAGAGCAAACCCTGGGACATGAGAATCCCCATTGCTTATCCAACAGGGACCTGGCAGGTAGGAGCACTTGCTGGGGGAAAAGGGCTGAGGATGAACCCAATGTGATCCCTTGAATGGAGGGGGACAGGGACAGGATGGGGGATGTGGGGCTTTCCTAGGCTTCATCTGCTCTTGCAGCTTTGTCCTCCTGATCCTCAGGGTACAGACACTGCCTGAGGGGCCATGGTGCTGGGAAATCCCCAATATTCCTGCAGAATTCCTACTGCCGGGGGGAAGGGAAGGGAGAGGAAGAGGAAGGGGAAGGGAAAGGAATGCAGGAGCTGCCAGGGTCAGAGGTGCTTCATGCCCCCTGACATCCCTGATCCTCCCATCCCCAGCAGGGCCGCAGGGAGCTGGGACAGGCAGAGGTCTCTGTCGGTGCTGCTCGGGCGGGGGGACAGCCAGGACAGCGGGGCTGGCCGGGGACACGGCAGGGACAGGCTGGGGAGCGGAGCTGGACTGCGAGCGGAGCCGGGCGGGTTTGGGGTGACCGCTGCCCATCTCCGCTTCCCTGGGCGGGGAGCAGCCCCTGGGCAGCCCCTGGGGAGGTGGAGAGGCGCTGCCCACCCTGGGCTGTGCCCGCTCACAGCCGCGCATCCTTCCACAGCACCGCGCATCCCGGCAGGGAGGGAAGGATGGAAGGAGGGAAGGATGGAAGGATGGAAGGGGAGCTGCCCCCGTTTTCGGGGCGCGGATGCTGTGCCAGGGCAGCCATCCCCCAGCCCCCCGCTCCCCTGTCGCTGCGCTCGCTGCAGCGCGGCCCGAGCCCCCTCCCCGGCGGTCCTTGGGGGATATCAAGGGCAAGGAAGAGAAGGGTTACCTGGAGGAAAGGGTTGCTAAGCAACCCCTCCCCCCGACCCCCCCCCAAAGCACCGCAAACCCAAAACTCGTTCCAGGCCTGCAACCAGATTAGCATATTAATGAGGCTGTAATTTCCCCGGAATTGTCTGCACGTCTATGCCCGCTCACAGCACACTGGCCCAGGAGTTTGCTATGCAAATAAACTGGTTTTACAGGCTGTGGCTTAATTAACTCATCAAGTTCATCTTCCTAACAAAAAAGGCAGACTAACTGCGGATTAATGGACCTGTGTTTGCTCTTCTTTCTCTCCCCCTCTCAGCCGCTCCCTCCCGGCGGCTCTGCCTCCCTGCAGCTCCATCCATCCATCCATCCATCCGTCCATCCATCCCCGGCCGCTCCAGTCTCTGTGCTGGGGAGATCCTCCAGCCTCACGAGGAGATAAATCCTGGGAAAAGAGATGGGGAGGGGGGAAAGGAATCTTAACACCGCTTCCAGCAGAGTCGGGGAGGTTTTCCTCATCGACTTCAAGGGGAATAAGATGGATCAGGCCTCGAGGATGGTAATTACGCCTTCAGTCGGAGCTGGCAGGTGACCACTTATGAGAAGGAGGTGGCACACGGTGACACTGTCTCTTTAAAATGGCTGTCTGTGCGCGGATCAGGGGTCGGGGATTTTGGGGAGGCGGATTAAGGCAGCGTTTCGAAAGGGGAGCTCTGGCACTGCTGCTCCTTCCCTCGCCGAGCAGGGTCAGAGCAGGCGAGAGGGACGCTCTCCCTCCTGGGTTAATCAGGGAGGCCCTTCCTGCCTTCATGCCACGCTCAGAGGCAAGGTGGCTTTTGAAAACTACCCCCCAAAAAAAGGTAAATACAAGGATTTGCAGAGTCACCGAGGGAGAGTTCATGCGGCCAAAAGTCTCAATTCAACGGCAAAGCCCCGGGCTGGGGAGCTCCCTTTGAACATCATCATCATCATCATCATCATGACTTCACCTGCCCTCGCCCACCTCTCTGGCACCTTCCTCCTGCCCTGGGAGCCTCCTGTGTCCCCGGGATGGGCTCAGATGTCCCCACACGGCTCCCACCGAGGCTGGGAGTGCCCAGCCTGGGGCTGTGTGCGGAGCGGCTCCGGCGGAGATGAAATGTCTGAGCGGATCTGCTCCCTTTTAATTCGGGCTGCTTTGTTAGTTAATTGTAGTTTGACCTCCAGGGAGGTTTTCCGCGGCTCAGAAGGTGGCCTGGGAGACCGAATTCAGAGCCTGGGGTGGGAACGGCTGCTTTGCCATTCATGGCATGGATTGTGGCAGCCCGAGGAGATGCGCGGAGCCCCGACTCTGGGAAAGGGTGGAGCAGGTAAATCAATATCGGCAGGAGGGGCTGAGTACGGATCAGGCTCCTCTGGGGAGTGCCAAGCAAGAGGACGAGAGGAACAGACAGGGTATGATGCCCAGGAAATTCCACCTGAACATGGAAGAGCTTTGTCCTGTGACCGAGCACTGGAACTGGCTGCCCAGGGAGGCTGTGGAGTGTCCCATTCTGGGGATATTCCAGAACCACCTGGGCACAATCCCTCTCTGGAGATATTCCAGAACCACCTGGGCACAATCCTGTGCCCTGTGCTCTGGGGTGACCCTGCTGGAGCACAGATGATCCTGGCTGTGGTCCTTTCCAGCCTGACCCATCCCGTGGCTCTGTGGTGACCCTGTGGCCACCCAGCTCGGGCCCTCCTGGGCTTCCCACCCGTCTGTGCCCATCCCCATCACCCTGCAGCCACACTCCCACAGCCCCTCCCTCGCTCTCAGGCCGCTGGAAGCTCCCCATGTGTCGGAATTTTGGGGGACACAAGGTGGGTGATGGATTTTGGACTTAGTTAATGGAAGAGGTTTGATAACAGGATGGAGCTTTGAAAATGGAATTTTGAGAATTAGACTTAGATTGTAAGAAGATTCAGTCAAATGGGTTTATTGGAAAAAGAAAATATCATTAAACTTGTAAGAAGATATAATTATGTTATAATTATGTTAATATATTAAAATATATATATATTATATTATATATTATATATATCATATTATATTATATACTTTATATTATATATATTATATATTATGTATTATATATTATATATGATATAATATTTATGTACTATAAATATATAAAATATAGTTACATTTATATAATTTAAATATCATTAAAAATGTAAGAAGATCCAATCAAATGGGTTTATTGGAAAAAGAAAATATCATTAAACTTTGTAAGTAAGAGATGTTGTTACATGTATAAGTTTGTGTATGTGATTTTTAACTTCATTATTGCAGTATACATTATTAGACTCCTTAAAACAGTATATAAGTGCTTGTGTTTTACAATAAAGGACACCCATGCAAGCCCCAGATCTTTGAGGGTGGCAAGGGGCTGGTTTCCAGCCAGCTGAGCTGCAGAGATCTGCTGGCACCCAGCTCTGCATCTCCTCCTCAGGCAAGAGCCTCACACCTCCCCTGGAAGTTTCAGAGCATTCAAATGACACTCTGCTGAAGCCCACCCCTCTTCCAGCTACAGCTGCTTCAAAATGGATTTAAGTCGAAGCTTTCTTGCTAAATTTAGTTTAGACTGGACAAAGTCCTTGAAAAAAAATCTAACCGTACTCAGAAGCTTCTCTGCATTCACAGGAAAATGGACTGGCTGACCTAAAAGGTCTTTTCCATCTCTAATTTCTGTGGTTGTGTGATTCATCCCTCTTCTTTGAAAGTGTTTCCTACATGAATCGTCTCGTCAGAGGAAAAAAAAAATATACTAAATAATCTTTTTTCATTTCCCCTGCTCATTGTCAGAGCCTGAGAGAGGTGAGGGATGTGTGTGCTCCCACATGAACCCAGCAGTGGAAGAGAAAAGGCAAACCAGGACTCAGCTGAGCAGCAGAGGAGGAAGCTGCTCGTGCCAGGTGGGGTAGGAGGAGTTGTGCTGGGACATCCTTCCTTCCCTGGAGCACAGCTGATCCTCCCTTTGTCAAATCAGGAGAAAACACCGAGCTGGGGAGCAGAGCCACTCCCCAGGACAGAGGAATGGCCCATCCCAAGCGAGGAGAGGGCATCCCTCAGCCTGCTGCTTCCCAGAGACCAAATCACAGCTCCTCGGGGTGCTCCTGGGGCTCAGCATTCCTCACATCCTCCAGGAATTCCTCTCCTGAGAGCTCGCCCAGTTTCCTCTCAATCCTGCAGCAGAAGTTCTAGAGATAGCTGCTTGCAAGAGACACAGCTTGTTTTAGATCTTGCTTCTGCCACCTGCACCTGAGGGCATGAAATGGAGTTTGGTTCCATTTGGTTCCCCATTGTCTGTTTAGGAATTCTACCAGGGGCATCACATAACCTCAGAAAGGAGGCAAAAACCTCCTGAGGTCAGCCAGGACAAGCCAGGAAAGTGCAGCTTTCCACCCTGCAGCAGCCCTGCATGGGGAGGGAGCTGGGAATTACCCCAGCACAGATCCCTTGTGGCCACCAGGCCCTGCTCAGCCCATCCCAGCCCCTGAGGCCTCCCCCAGTCCTGTCCCAACCCTGTATCCCTCCTCTATCTGGATTTCTGGTACCCCAGTGCTGGGGTTGTCTCCTCTCCCATGGCTCTCAGTGACTCCCTTCTCATGAGGCACAAACTGAAGTCACCAAATTATTCCCATTTTTCCTTTGGATAATGCCTCCCAACCCAGCCCATCAACTGATCATTCCTTTCCCAATGTTCAGCAGTAGGCTCAGGGTGACATTCCTGGAAAATATAAATATAATAAACCTGCTTTCAGCTGGTTTCTGCTTTAAAATTTGGGTGTGAGGTTGGATGGAGGCTCACATGTGGTGATTTCCAGAAAAGCTGGGGAGCTGCTGAGTTTTGGGGCTGGCACCCCACTTGAAGCCACCAACCTGATGGGAGACAATGGGGGCAGAGCTGTCCCCAAAACGAGGGGCAGAGGGGAAAACAAAAGGGACAAACCCCTGCAGGAAGGCAAACTCAGCATCTGATCCTGGCTCACTCTCCAGCGAGGTTTGGCCAGGGATTTGGGGAGCAGAGGTGGTTTGAATGATAATTACCCATCTTCAGCTGTCACCCAGGAGGTGTTTGTGTGAAGAATTGTTGTGACCATAATATAGGACTTTCAGCTCCTTTTATTTCGTTGATTTAGTGGATTTTCATTCTCTCTTTTCTCTCATTTTCTGGAAGCACTATAAACCCAAAGTCCTCCAGCATCACCCCTCTCTACAAAATGCAGATTTATTTTTTTTTAAACAAAGACTAAAGCTGAAGTGCTTACAGTCAGGGAATCACCCAAGATTTGAACACTTGCCAGGTACCATTTCCACCCTTAAGAAGCACCAATCCTTTTTCCAGATGACATTCCAGGACATTGATTTTGTTTTTCTTTTCTCCAACATCGCTGCTACTCCAACAAAAGAGGGAAAATGGGTTTTCTTACACAGAGGAGGCAATCCAAGGAGGTGGAAAGCTGGACCTACACAAGCTGAGCTTTGAAATGAAAATCTGCCCTTTTAGGATTAACGAGGAGAGTGCTGATAAAACAAGGGAACAAATTTACAGAGGGAGACATCAGCCCTCAGCTGGCAGCCCACAAGTTGTGGGGCAGGATGCAAAATTCACCCCCAGCTCCCATTCTGTGGGAGGTCAGGCTCCAGGCTCGCTGGGGTCCCTTCTGGCCCTAAAATCTATGAATCTATTGATGCTCTGAGGCTTAAAAAGCAGCAGCTGCTCCTAGGCAGCACCTAGTTCTCATAAGCATTTGGAATAATGGATCCATATTGTGCCAATGCATACTAATGTTAATAATATACATTTGCAGCACACAGTGTGATGGCTTTGGAGACACCCAGGTGTCAGATGGAATCAGTGTCACTGCCACACCGTACCAGGACTCTGCTGCAGGTCCCTCTTGGCTTCTCCAGAGGGAAGCCTTTCCTTCTTGGAAATTATTGCGGTTGTCCCTTGTGTTTCTATAGGGGGAAAAAAAAAAAAGAGAATTATAAAGGAATTGTAGCAGGATTGGTGCCTGAGGTTTGCAGAGGGTTGGGATGGGGATGTGAGGGGGAACAAAGAGAGGAGCTGTGCCCCAGGAGCTCAGAGGTGCAGCCTCTCCCTGGAGATCTCCTCTCATGCACCAACACAGAGAAACCCAGAGCCAGGGCTGGGGCTGCCCCAGCTCTGTGCTGCTGAAGTCTGGACCACTTGGACCAAGAATTTGTGAGCCAGAGACCTGAGCCTGCCTCTGCCGGATTTGACTCCCTCAGCTTTCAAGGCAAAGGGAAAATGCCTCTTTGGTTGTGTTTTGGGGTCCTGGGGGCACAGGAGGAGCAGGCTCTCCCCTCCAGCCCCACACCCACAAACCATGAGGGGAGAGGAGCACTCTGGAGCGTCAGGGGAAACTTTGGGTGCTTTGAGGGGGTTTAGAGCCTGTGAGGAACACCTTCACATCCACATATATACACACAGACACCTCATCTGCTCATAGTTAGCATCAGCCTGGCCTAAAATCCCTGCCAAACTCCCCTGTTGTGCTGATATGAGCCCTCATGGGAAGCTGCCCGTGTCTTTATGGGAATTCAGGACAGCAGCACAGCACCCAGCAAGTCCTCAACTGTTTAATGTTCATTATTCCAATTGCCCAGCCCTTCCCAGTGCTTGGGACAAGGGGATTTTGTCAGGCACAACCCAGGCACTGCAAGGGTTAAGGCTGTGCCTTGGGCTGATCCTTGGCCATGCCTGTCTCCCTTTGTGAGGAGTTACTTCCAATGGAAAAGCTAAACCTGTGTTCTTCTCCTGATGTTTTTTTTTATTGCTATTCTTGCTATTTTAAAAAATAATTTAGTTTTTTAAAAATTATAACTTATCAGAAATATTAAAGGAAAACAAAAAGGAAGAAAACAACAGCTTCCAAAGTCACAGGGACTCGGATCCCCTTTAAACCCTGCACAGCCTCCCAGATTTCTGCTTCTGGATTTTCTGTCTTCCAGACACCCTGGGAAGCCCAGGATACCCAGATATCATTGGGATACCCCTCAATCAGAGCGGGTGGAGCTGTTTTCGTGGTTCTGATTGCGATTAAGGGAGGCAGAGGTGCATTTCCAGCGAGGAGAAGGGAGTGGGGTTGGAGGAGAGGGGAAAGCAGGACGGGGAAAGCAGCGTGGCCCTGTGCCCAGGTGACAGTGACAGCCCGTGGCCTGTGCCCAGGTGACAGTGACAGCCCGAGCACACCAGCACAGCCGCACATTAGGCAGCTGATGAGGTTAGAGAGGTCCGGGGCAGCTTTCCGGTTCCCTGAGGCCATGGAGGAATTATCCCATCCCTGCCCAGCACAGGCACCACCCGCGCTGTGAAACCGCTGCTGGAGCCATCCAGGCCGAGCTCTGAGCCCCATCCCCGGGGCCAGGACACCCCCAGAAAGGGCTCTGTCCCCTGACCTGCTCGGAGACACACAAACCTGATCCCCGGTATAAACCATGGGGCACACGGATGGTTCGGCTCCCCGGAGCTGGGGACGTCACAGAAGGCAGGGCCAGGGCCGTGGGTGAGGGGGGGGAACGTGCGTGTGCAAGGCTGGGTTGGGTGTGTAACAGGGGTGTGGGGAGCGAGGATTTGGGGCGTGGGTGTGAGCAGGGGTCGCGCACATGCCTGGAGGAATGCGGGGATGTGCAAGCGAGGGGAAGGGAAGGGAGATGCGGG